GCTACGTCCATCATGGGAGAGGCTTTCGCGTGGATGAAGCAAACCACCAATCAAAAAATAGAGCTAAAACAGAAGAAACAAGATGACGATATCATGAAGATGGATCTCTCAACACTCAATTCAGTTCAACGACAATACTTTGAAATGCGTCAGGCAGAGATATTGGAGAGGTGGATGTCCAAGGATTCTTCCTAATTATCATATATTATCTTGTATTAGATTTATGATTGTACTCGCATCGCATCCTAATTAGTTCTTCCTAATTATCTTGTATTAGATTTATGATTCTACTTGAAGTTGAAAAATTTGGCATTTAATGAAAACAACTACTTTATTGAAAAGAAAATTGGCGCAGTACATAAAGAAACTTAATCCTCGTCGATGGATCCCTTGAGCTGCCACAGATGCTCGATCAAATCATTCTTTAGTGATTTGTGTGTTTGCGTGTTCCTGATCCGATGATGATTTTGGATGAACTCAGTTAGAGGCACCGTCTGCACATGAGAAGGTTCAACGACTGGTATCGAATCATTAAAGTCGAAGTTGTTGTCCAATTGACAATCTCGTTCATCTTCAACGATCATGTTATGCATTATGATGCAAGCTGTCATGATGTCTTTCAGCACACTAGGTTGCCAGAAACGTCTTGGTCCACGAACAATCGCAAATCGAGCTTGCAACACGCCAAAAGCTCGCTCAACATCTTTTCTTGCGCTCTCTTGTTGTTGAGCAAAGTATTTATGCTTGTTTCCTCGCGGTGCTGGAATAGTCTTCACTAATGTGGACCACTCTGGGTAAATCCCGTCGGCGAGATAGTATCCCATATTATACTCGTGGCCATTGACAGTATAGTTGCACGGTGAAGCTCTTCCCTCCGCAAGTTGTGCGAAAACCGGTGAACGATGTAGCACATTGAGGTCATTGTGAGACCCCGGCAGTCCAAAGAAGGCATGCCATATCCAAAGATCTTTGCTAGCTACGGCCTCCAAAATAATTGTAGGTTCATAAAAATGCCCAGTATACATACCTTGCCAGGCGGTTGGACAGTTCTTCCATACCCAGTGCATGCAGTCAATGCTCCCAAGCATACCAGGAAAACCTCGTTGTGAACCCTCCTCGAGCAGGCGTGCAACGTCTTCATTAGTCGGTGAACGAAGGTATTCCTCCCCAAAGATGTTGATAATCGATCGAACGAACCTCTTCACGCTCTCAAGCGACGTACTTTTACCGATCCGAACGTAGTCGTCAACGGCGTCAGCTGATGCTCCATATGCGAGCATCCGCATAGCTGCAGTAATCTTTTGAAGGCTAGATAGTCCTAACTGTCCAGCACCATTCCTCTTTTGGACGAAGTACTTGTCATGTTCGACGACAGCGTCGTGGATTCGAAGGAATAACGAACGCGACATTCTGAATCTTCGACGAAAATAATGAAGAGGATATGTTGGTGTGTCAGCAAAATAATCTTGGAACAACCGATTGTGGCCTTCCAGTCGATATCGATGGAGCACGGTACGTCTTTTGTGTTGAACTGAAGTTGAACCTTTCCCTTGTACTTCTTCCTCGACGGCAGCAGCTCCCATAAGAAAGAACGTCTTCATCATTTCACCATCGCTAGAGCTAGATGAGCTAGACATTTTGTTCTGGGAGACGATGGGTTGAGGTGAGAAGGCATCGAATTTTATAGGAATCAGTCGGTTGACGGTCAAAGTTTGCGATAACTCGAAGTTCGTGCCCAACCTCGAAGACCGCGAGCTACCTCGAAGACCGTGTGCGTTGGTGAGAAGGCATCGAATTTTATAGGAATCAGTCGGTTGACGGTCAAAGTTTGCGATAACTCGAAGTTCATGCCCAACCTCGAAGACCGCGAGCTACCTCGAAGACCGTGTGCGTTCCCTCGAAGACCGCGAGTTAACTCCAAGACCGTGTGCGTTACCTCGAAGACCGTGTGCGTACCCTCGAAAGCCGCGGGTTACCTCGAAGACCGTGTGCGCTCCCTCGAAGACCGTATCCAACGGTTAGAAATAAAATACAAGAGGTTTAAATATAATTAAAAGTAATGGGTAAAATATCAAAATAGAAGAGAGGTTTTTTTGATATTGTTGGAGCTCCTAACTAGGAGCTTGTTGGAGCTCCATAAAATAAGGAGATGCTCCCAAGGCCTATTTTTATAATTTTTTATACCAAAATGCTTGAGAGCTCTTGAGAGCTTGATGACTAGGACTCCTAACTGGGAGCTTGCTGGACTTGCTCTTATAGGGTGTTGCTTCGTACTTGGGTGGCCTCCCACACGCAATCAGCCCCCCACACGCAATCAGTTTCACAAACACATGGGTGGGCCCCATGTGACTCCACGTTCACACTGCAAATTCTGATATGAATGTTGTAGATTGTTAATTTGCTGTCCTTTTGCTTCTCCTGCTTCTAGTTTCGTATCTATCACTTTCTACGAACTTGAAGAAAGAAATGGCACTAGAAAATGTTCACAGGATCTCGTATGATCTGCTCTTCAAAAAACTATATTTTCAGATTCAAACTGGAGTTTATTTTTTCACTTTGATTTATTTATTTATTTTTCAGTCATAAGCGTTTGAATCGATAGACTACAGAGGACAGCCAAGAGAATTAAAACGTTATATCATGGATGGAAAGAGAGTTTTCTGCTCGTAGAAATCACAAAGAACTTCATGAAGGGTAACCACTAGGCACTAGCAACTTCAACTGATGGTCGTGTACTTTGAATGCGCAGATAAGATTGCATAAATTATAAAGCAATACATTAATCTCTCATAAGGGATTATCAATAAGCTACAACATCTAATTACTATCACCACCACTTAGCTAAATTTATTAGGCAAGTAAAGAACTGTTCGATATAAACATGTGTATATACATAAATTAAAAGTAAGTCTACTAAAAATTTCTAGATCCTTCTTGGACTAAGAACCTCTAACTACTTAGCTAAATTTATTAGGCACACAAAAATCTGTTTTATATAAACATATGTATATAAATTAGGGTTTTTACATAAAAATCACATTTACTTTTACCCAAATTGATACTTATCACCTTTAAAATTTTCAATGTAAACCACCTTTACTTGCTTAACATGTCTACAATGTCACACCTAATCCAGTTTTCAGCTAAAAATTACGTGAAATGACCATTTTACCCTCACCATTTTCTTACTTTTTCATCTCCTTCCTCACAAACCCTATCCCTAACCCTAATCCTAGCCTCCTCATCCTCCTCTTCTCCCCTTCTTCTCTCTCCCTTCTCCCCTAACTCCCCTCCCCCCTCTCTCTCATCCCCACTCTTCCTCCCCGACCTCCCACTCTCCCATTCCTTCCAAGTGGGAACTAGGATTAGGGTTAGGGTTTAGGGAGGTGGCGGCCATGTGTTAGGGTTAGGGTCAGGGTTTGCAGAAGAGGAGGGTGGAGGAGACTAGGGTTAGGATTAGGGATTGGAAGGAAGAAGATGAGGTAAAATGAGAAAATCTGATTTTTCGTGTGTGAACATTAAATAAAAGTGTGACATTGCAAACATGTTAGCTAGTAAATGTAGTTTACATAAAAAAAACTTTAAAAATGATAAGTATCAATTTAATTAAAATCATAGGTGGTTTTGATGTAAAAACCCTATAAACTAAAAGTAAGTCTACTAAATGTTTCTTGCTCATTCTTGGACTAAGAACTTCTAATTGCTAACACCACCACTTAGTTGAATTTATTAGACATATAAAGAAATGATCTTCTTAACATGAGAAAGTCTTAATCAAACAACAGTTATTTATTTATCAAGTAGTTAGATGCATTTTCATAGCAGTTTATTAGTAGTAAAAAACATTGTTTTTTAAACAATAATCATCTACTATAAAAGAGTTATGATATGTATATATTTTTTGGTTTTTCAATATTAGTCCCTGTTTAAATTTGAAATTAGTTTCTCAAATCATTGAAATTTCTTTTACGTCCCCCAATTCTTATACAGTATTTTGCCATTAGCCCCTCACCTGCACCCCCAAGGCCTGAAACTACTATTGGCTCCCTTGATTTATAATTTGTTTCAACCTAATCCTTATATAAGAAATAGGGGATCTAATAGCAATTTCAACGATTTGAGGCACTATTTAAGGGTTTTGTGCACATATGCCTCAACTTTTAGTATTTGTAAAACTACCCACCAAATAGGGGAATAGAATCAAATCCCATAGTATTTGTACTCGAAAAGGACAGGAAATGTGCATTTGAATTCGATTCGATTACCACTCGAATATTCGACAACTATTCGCGAATATTCGTTAATAGTATTTATGTATCTTTTATGAATTATTTGGTTAATATTTGATAAATATTCATTAGTATATCCTAGTCGTATAATGCAACCAAATATGATACAACTAATGAATATGCAACCTAGTGATAAATGTAACATTTAAAAACAAGAAAACATCTATACGAAGTTATATGTGTAAAAAAAACTTTGGGATGCATAGAAAATATAAAACTAAAAATTATGGGTCTAAAATGTAATAAATAAATGAATAGTTTATTAAACAAATAAATTGAATATACGTGTGGTTAATTCTATTCATTTGTGAATCGAATACTAAAAATAATTTATTTATTATCAAATGAACTATTACATTGAATATGAACAAATACTTAAGAGAATAAATACCGAACTGATTGTTAAATATTTGGTTTGTTTCCACTCCTACCTTCAAATCATCAATTTTAGAAAAAAATATATCTAGAACAAGCAAATCATCAAGTTGGTAAGTAAAACTTGACTGTTTTATCTGATAATTTTTATATTGATGTTACAAATTAGCTTATCAAAGTTGATGATTGATTGATCAATTTGGGGTATTTTCTTTCAAAATTGATGATTTGAGGAGTAGTTTAGCAAATAAGATGATTTGAGGGATAATTCTGATAATACCCATGATATAGGCGTATATATGCAAATCACGAAGATGCGGTTCCGTCTATTAACCAAAGTTTCCAGTTCCGGAGTTCCCTAAAACGGGCAAAACTCTCCCACGTCGACGCTGACGCGGACATTTATCATTACCTTTTCAAATCTAGGCAGCATTTCGTCTTTGCTCACCGCCTGTGATCAATCCAAACCCAAAATCATGGAATCAGCAGCATTAGCTTCAAGAATCCCCGCCGTCTTCTCCTCCTCCCTCCGATCAAACGCCCACCGATCTCACCTCCGACACCCTTCAAGAATCTCCCTCCACCGTCCGATCTCGCTCCGAAGCCGAACGCTAACCCTAGCCTCCGCCGCAGGCTCCGATCAAGCTCCGATGGTATTTATACTATTCTCTTTTTAATTCGTTAAATTAGAGGTGTTCTGTAAATAACTTGCTGTTTTTAATATATCACAGGGCTCGCAATCTCAATCGTTCTTTAGATCGGCGCTCTCGAGCATGGAGAAAGTTTACTTGACTAGAAATCCGACTGCAAAATCTGTTCTTGAATCTGTGAGCTCGTCTGATCGCAGTCCTGTGTGTTACGATCACTTCGCTTTCCGAACATTTGGGGTAAATGATGCAATTTTGTTTTTTTTTTCCGCTTGATTCTATTACTGTTATACCATGTATTTTTTTTTTCTAAATTTTGAAGGTAGATGGCCATGGAATTGATTCCATTGCAACATTCTTCTTGGATTTTGGTTATACTTTACGAGATGAACTGAGGTTTCCAGCAAAAAAGCTGAGAGCTTTGTGGTTTGCTCCTCCTGAGACTGAGTACAGTAACAAATGTAGCTTGCCTTTGCCTAGGATTTTTATATCGGAGCTTCTTGTGGATGAGTTGAGTTCTCAAAGTCAGGTACTTACTCTCAACAAGTGCAGATTGTTTGCAATTTCAGTTTGTAATTTCCTGTTTTTCTGTTCAATAATGGCAATTACTTATGCATGCAGGAAATAATTAGAAAATATGTTAAGATTTCTGGAAATGGCAATAAATATGCGGCCCTGGCAAGCACATTGGGACATTTAACTTGGGAAAAACCAATATTTTCTGATTATCAACAGCTGGCAAGGTAACCCTTCCCACAGTGCTCTTGTATTTGCTGTGTGATTACGAAGCAGATTGGTTCTGTAATTAGTGTACCTGTATGCTTGCGGATATTAAACAGTATGCTGACTAAAGTCAGATGATATTATTGTGAGTACTGATACACATTGTTAGCCAGCAACTTAATAGCTCAAGCTTTTTAGGTGAAGTGATATCTAGATATATGAGCACTATTTCTAGATATCTGAGCACTAGAATAAGATGTCCATTTTCAAATCTAGATTTAACTGTATTTTAAGAATGATCGTGTCTATCCTACCCCATGTGTCAGATAACACAAGCTTTCTTTAGCATGAAGGGGTTTATCACAGGACAAGTGTTGATATGCATTCTTAGCTCGCAATTTACTTACCTAAAGCCTCTGGATGGTGTGGTCTTCTGTCGGATCATTTTTGATCAAGTTGATAGGAGTAATCATGTTCTTTTATTTTTGCTGTTATTTCATTTCCAGGGAAAGTGAGTATGCTGCATGGACTCTTGTTAATGGTTATGCAGTTAATCATGTCACTATATCTGTTCATCGGTTGAAGTCGCACATTAGGAGTATTAAAAGTCTTAATCAGTTCATTGAAGATCAAGGATATAGATTAAACTCCGAAGGAGGGACCCTGAAAGGTTTGCTACCAACTCTTTATATTAACTTTCTAATCAGTAATATCGAATGTTTTTGTTTGTATTTAAGATTGGTCTACCTGGAAATAATGAATTCCTTCTCATATTTTCCTAATATTGCACAATATACGTACTAAAAATCAGCAGAAAGATGAATATTGGATGATGTTTCAATTCTCAATTTATTGTTGGAGGTGACTGGAAGCTACGCGACTGGCAGCTGGGGAAATGCAGTAAGCTTCGCATGAGTATACTGCAAATTTCTGTGCATAACATATGAAGTTGTAGGGTCTGTCAGGATTAGAATTTTCACCAAGGGTAAGCAGGTTGCACACTTTTGGTAATGGAGATATTGGGCACAAACTAACTCTAACTGAGCTTTGATGTTTAACTGACAAATTAATGGCAAAATTTTGATCAATTTCATTTGTTCAGTTTTTCATCTTTTAGTGTGTGATCCGTAACATACCCTATTGGAAGGGGGGAACGCTTAATGATGACAATGTACTATGGAAATAAACACTCATTTTCTTGTCCCCACTTTTGCAGAGTTTAATTAGAATCACTGCTTTCTGAGATCTTTTTAAGGAGTAAACTTTTATAAAATGCTAATCAAATGCATGGGGCCTCTTATACGTCCTTAAAGAGTTAAAATCTTGCTATGACTAATATCGAAACAAAGTTTGAGTTTATCATGTGAAATTGTCCAATTCTTTCTTTGCTTATAATCTAATAAACAAACCATACATAAGAAGGGGTTGGCTGGTCGATTGCTTCAGGCATGCATTATTTCATTTGGTCTCATTAGTACACCTTTTTATAGTCTAGAGCAATGTTACAGAAAGAGCCAGGCGCTGTGTTGGCCTAGCACCTATGCGGCCGCCTATGTGGGGGTAGGCAGATTTTTTTTCTTGTTTCTGTTTTTAACTGGAGCTGGAGGAGATTTTGTTGAACGTTAGAGGCGGAGGAGGTGCTCAGAGTTGGTGGACGAGTGCATGGAGGTTGGAGGATGTGGATGCGGCAGTGGAGGATATCAGACCATGGCCTAAGCTTTGCAATTTGCACATGCTTCCCTAGGCGCTCTCAAGACCTAGACGGGCTGCCTAAGTACTGCCTAGGCCTAGGCGGGAGACTAGGCAGGCGCCTTGACTGCTTTTTAAAACTATGGTATTGAGTAAAATTTCACTGAATATGGATACTGAACCTGCTGAGTCAGTATGAGTGCAGTAAGTTCTCTGATGGTACCTATCCTGGAACCATCATTTGATTGTGAACCACATTTGGCATCAATCATCATTCTTGCTGCAAACATACGTTTAATAATGCTTCTAACGTCTTGTTTTTCTCGCTTCATACTGCTTTAGCGTATTATCTCCTTCAATTATTTACTCTGCCTCCTAAGTGGGGATATATGAGATGGAGTTGTTCCCAGATGTAGATGTTTTTTTAATATTTGTTTGAAATTATGCAGATTTGATTTTACTACTTATTTCATGTGATTATTGTTAGATCTTTTACAACACTAAATAATGGTTTCATCACTGTCAATTGTTTACTAATTGATCACTGTATTTGGCGTTGCTTTTCCCCATAATTAATCTCCACATCTGTTTTTTTCTTGAGTATTTATTATTTTAAATTATTAAGGACATGCGAGATTCTCAGACCTTTTTGTTTTCTGCTTTATAAACAGTGAGCCCAGATGGCTTTCTTTTACAGAGTTCAACTGTGGCTGATTCGACGTTGTTTAGTTTTGGCGATGGTGTCACCGAGTCTGTTCCTTGCTCTTACATTGAGTTTGCAGAACGCCTTGTATTACCTCAGTACGAAAAGTTAGCAGAGGAAGAGGTTTGAATTCTTTTCCTCACTTTATATCTTTAGTGGACTAATTTCTGTTCGATGTTTATGAGGAGAAGTCCTTGATTGTTCCGGTCTTCTTGTTGGTGCATGCCTTAAGTGTGAAAATATCACAGTGTAGTACTTTTAGAAGGAGTGGGGTGTCATTCTTTTCACAGCTTTGTATCACGGGTCTAACTGACTAGTCTACAAACACTGATGATTTTAAAATTTTTGTTTTTTTTGTGTGATCAATAGACAGCAATCTAGTCTTCGCAAAATACCAATTTATAAATTTATTCCTTAGTGGGGGAAAACTTCATTGTGTTTTCTATGACATGCATGATGATGAGTCTTTTTTTTTTATGTTTAGCTATACATTCAGTTCAAGTTACTGAGGCTTGTGTCCTATAGCCATTTTCTTATGCAATTCGTGATTGCTA